GGGGTAGTTGGTCGACAGTGAGAGGGGTAAGAATTGGCCATCTTCAGGGACAAATGGAAGGTGCCTTGTTCTCGGTGAGAACTTGCTTCTGTTCTTTCAGATCATTAATGACAGGAGAAGCGATAGCCACCCTCTCTGTTCATGTTGGGCTGGAGCTCAATCTCTATCTGTTAATAAAATCCTGAAGATGGGGACAGAGATAGTCCCTGAAACATCAACAAGTTTTTACTATTTGACATAGCTGATAGCCCAAGAGGATTTTATTAATTTAATTTTCGATCTCATCCCTGATGATCCAGTCCATACATCCACATTTTTTGGCCAGAATATTGGCATTCCATAGCCAAATATAACGGGCCCAGGTTATCAATGTGTTCTGCCACAGCAGACTTCTCGGGTGGTAGTAGCGGAAACACTGACTCACTAAGTGTAGTGGTGTGCAAGAAGACCATTTTGATGGTGACAGCAAACATTAGTAATTAAATACAGCTTTCATGGGGGCATTCCCAGAACTTTTCACACCTCATTAAAAGACACTTGTCAAAACGCTTTATACATGAATTTATGGTTGCACAATCAGATGTATATAAGAACACAATTCACAAAGTAGCAAAACCTTCTGATTCTATTTCCTTGGAATTAGTATTAATTTTAAAGTCTGCCAAAGTCCTATATAAATATTTTAAATATATGCATCACAGTATTTCCCAACTCACCCAAAATTCAATCCTGCATTCAAGTCTGTGGGAGAGGGGCAACATCAAGTACAGAAAATACAGTTAATGGTTATAATGGAATGCAGAGTTGGCATGGCATGCTTCTGGAAACAAGTCATTGTTGTCGTACATAAAATGTAAAAACTTCATGCCTAATACTTTCTTGAAATTCTTACAAAGAATGCACATTTTTCACGCACATGTCTTCTTTCCGTGTGCCCCATAAACACATCGGGTGATTGTGGAGGCCACAATCCTCAACTTACAACTCATTCACCAAAGATTTCTCATTAAATGCAACCACAGAATTGTTCACAGTGTGTGCTGTTGTACTGTCCTGCATAAAATGTGTGTACAAATTTTTATCATGTCAGTTGATTGAAGAATTATGACAGAATCAATCTCACGTAACATTTGGAACTGAGTGTTTTGTGAAAAAAAACACAATCCTAATTGTATAAAGTGAAGCTTTCGTGGCGACTGAAGTTGGTGACAGACTCTGGGGCTACAAGCCACATCAGGTAGCTGAATAGTGGATAAACCATATCTTCTGCCTGGTATGGTTTATTCACCATTCAGCCACCTGATGCGGCTTGTAGCCCCAGAGTCTTTCATCAACAATCCTAATTATCCTCCATGCACCAACTGCACCCCAAACCTCAATTTTTATATCATGCATGGCACTTCATGAACAGCATGAGTATTTTCTGTGCTCCAATATCTGTTATTATGGCTGTTTACATAACCAATCAAAGTGAACCATGTTTCATCAGAACAAGTTCTGGGTCATTAAGTCCATTGAATACTGATTCCTGAAACCACCTGCAGTATTTTAATCTTGCTTCACACACAATCTGGTGGCAAAAGGCCATGTATGACTGTAGTTCTGTGAGGCCATAAGTTCAGCAACTTCATACCACTGTGAGCTGTACTTTTTGCCAACCCGCAACGAAGAGACAAAAGTCATAACAACTTCTTTATCCTAGTTTCTAATCAAGTTCTGATGTCATCAAGTTTTTCTTCAGTCAGTACACATCTTCTTCAATTTCTTTTTGTCAAGCACTGATCCTGTAGAATGTAATTTTGTTATGATGTCGTAAATTATTGCTGTACATGGTACCATACTGTCAGGATACTTCCTACAAAACCTTCTACAGAATTTCCTCCACGAAGAATGTTGTACAAATGTATCACATATGAATAATTTCTGCAGTATATTTCACAACACTGTGAACTGTATTCATACATATCTCAAGAAGAACTAACCATTCCAAACAAACAGCACTACCAAGATGTTGCAGCAAGCAACTGGGGACTAAAGTGGCCCAACCACATACGAGTCTGGCTCGGCGAGCTTGACTTGTGAGCTGGGCTCAGATATATCTCACCACACATGCATAGCAGACTCGGCTCGTGACACCCCACCCACAAACGAGTTTGGCTCAATGGAACCCAAGCCGAGCCGGACTCGCAAGCCAGACTCATACAGGTAAAACTGACATATTATAATAAAAATTCCAGGTCAAATATGAATTACCCTTGTAATATTAATATTATCCAGATAAATAAATATGAAAATCTCTTCTTAAATATTTAATTTATTTTTAGACTACTTACCATCATTACATTCACAATAAGATTTTGAATATGCAAGTAACAGTTTACTTATGTCATATTCATCTTCAGACTCATCGCCGTGAAAACCAAAAATCCTGCTATGTCATATTCTGTGATCTGCTTATGACTACAAGAAGCCATGGCTACCACTTAGCAACATAACAAGTTGATACAACTTGAAAAATATATAATAAATACAAGAATTTTTCAATATCTTATAAGAAAAATGATATTCAATACAAGCAAAAGCTTCTACATATTACCAGCACATTAT